TTCACTCAGGAATGTGCACAACCCGGCCGAGGCCCCGGGCCCCAGCAGCCTTGTAATTTGATGAATTGTCAACATCTGGGCCGTAATTGCTGGGCCCTGGACTGATAATCCCGGTAAGCCCCCTCATCCAGGGCCCCTTCCTGGTGCATTTCGAGGCCTCCGTCCCCTGGCAGAGCCATCACCATTCACTACAACCAGAAAGCAGGACCGTCACCCAGCTCCGCTGGTCTGAGCATTGACTGCCGTCTGCATCCAGACACGGCCAGTTTATTGATTGAGTTCAATTCAACAGGTAACTCGCTGGTGAGTCAGGAGGCCGGAGCCACGGGCCGGTGGGGGGCCCTCAGCACAGCCCTCTGCTGCGGCCTCCTCCCCGGCTCCGTTTCCTGAGGGACATTGAGGCGCTCCAGCTGTGGAGCCCGTATACCCCACGCCCCAGACTTCTTCTACCGAGAAACCTCCTCTCTTTTGCCACCTTATTAATTTTTCTCCAAGGACGGCCCTATGGAATGCTGCTCAGGAAATACTCCGAGGTGTGAGGGCGTGAGCAGACGTATGTAGGAAGGCAGAGCTGGTACCCCCTGCTGGCCACTTGGAGGGCCACACAGAGTCACTCCCCAGCACTCCCATCCCCAGGGCCAGTGCAGACCCCAGTTCTGTGTCAGCTTGCCTATAGGGCAGTGATGGCCAACCTTTTGAGCTCGGCATGTCAGCATTTTAAAAAACCCTAACTTAACTCTGGTGCCGTGTCACATATAGAAATTTTTTGATATTTGCAACCATAGTAAAACAAAGACTTATATTTTTGATATTTATTTTATATATTTAAATGCCATTTCACAAAGAAAAATCAACCAAAAAAATGAGTTCGCGTGTCACCTCTGACACGCGTGTCATAGGTTCGCCATCACTGCTATAGGGTCTCCTGTCTCCGGTTGGTCTGAGAGGAGGACACAGAGGAAGCTGGGGACTGCCTGGGACCTGGGGAACTTGTCATTTGAGAGGAGACGGGCATGACCTCCAGCTTACAGATGAGGAAACTGAGGCTCAAGGATACTCTGGTCCCTGTGGGAGGTAGGGGCTGCGCAGCAACTCGAGTGCAGCCCCAGGCCTGTTTGCTTCTCACATCCTGAAAAGTCCTGGGGCGCAGCTGGCCGCACAGGGACTGAGATGTGTGGGGCTCTGGCCTAGACCCGAGGAAGGGAAGCCAAAGCAGGAATATCCCTGCTGGGGAGAATGGCTGAGGCTCAGAAGGGTGGACTGGCTCTCCCAGGCCCACACAGCAAGCATGTCTGTCTGACCCAGCACTCTCTCCGGCAGAAGGTCGGGTGGAAGAGGGTTCAGTTAGCCCTGCCTGGGGAGGATCTGCTTCGTGGGGGAGACAGATGTTCCAGGAATCCTGGGAGGAAGGCAGGCCTGTGAGGCTGTCCCACAAGTCCCCCAGGACGGCCATCTGTCACCCCCTCTACCCTGTGCTGCAGGAGAGGGAGCGTTGCATGGAGAGTAGGGCTGATTTTAGTCCTTGGACAACCCACTGACTCCTCTGCCTCATCTGTGAGATGGGGCCATGGTGCCTGCCTCCCGGGGCTGCTGTGAGGGCAGGGGCCACGGCGGTACAGAGGCCTCGGTCAAGTCTACAATGAGGAGCATTCATGGAGAGTCTCCCTCTCTGTGGCCCCCAGGGGCAGGGTGCCCTGCACTGGACTTGATCAGGGGCACCTTGAACACATCACACCATCCAGGCCCTGAGGCCCCATCCACTGCCGGTGACCTGATGGCTGTGAGGCCCATTGTGTCTTCCCTCCTGGCACACGGAGAGGAAAGAGCCTTAGTTAGTTCTAAGCTGCACCTTAGTGTCTTGTAATCCATGCAGATTTATAGAGGGCAGATTTGGGGCTGCATTTGGGCTCAGTTCAGTAGGACTTACGGACGCACCCAGGGCCTGGGCACAGAGTCTCTGGTGGCGGCCACACTGGGCAAGGTGGCCAGGGCAGGCGAGGTCCAGTAGGGGGTGGGAGGGAGCAGGGAAGGTCTGACAGCGGCATGCAGGGGTGAGAGTGGCTGATCTTCAGGGAGTTCACCGCAGGGTTTAAGTGCAGAGAGAGCACAGAACGGAAGTGCTGTCCAGCTCCAGCCCCGCCTGTTCCTGGCTGTGTGGCCTTGGGCAAGCAAGGTCTTCCCCTGGCTGGGCCCCGTTTCCTGCTCTGCAAGAGGAGGCGGTGGTAACACCTGCCTCAAGGCTGTTGTGATGATTAAGACCAGGTGTGTGGGTCACTAAGCCACACCGGAGGGGACTTGGGCCCCGTGTGTGTTGTGGTGGCCAGAAGGCTGGGCCTACATGAGAGGTCAGGGTAGAAACCCCCATGGGGCCATGGCCCTGAGGAGGCTGAGCAGGGCCTGAGCATGGGGGCAGGGGCGGGGCCCATTTTAGGAGACTGCTGAACGGAGGAGGGCTCTGGCATGTGAATCCAGGGGTCAGAACTGCCAGGAGCCCCCAAGAGGAGACCAGCCAGCTGATGGCCCTCAGGTGATGGGACCTGAACTGTGGCTGGGGTTTACCAAGAACAGGAGCCCCCAGGGCCTGAGCCCCCAAGACTTTGGAATAGGCCACTCCTTCCTTCCCCAGGCCATCACCCCCACATCCACACTCTCCCCCACAGTGAGGCTGGTGGCCAGAAGCACTTAAGAGGCCAATTTTCAGATCTGCCCAGGTTCCTGCCTGGAGTGAGGCCCTGGTCTGAGTGCATCAAGGGTAGGCCACTCTGGGGTCTGGGGAATCTGAGGTTGGCTGCTCAGGGCGGCCTAGAGGTCGAGCCAAGGAAACTGGTCATTTACCACTAGACACAGTAGGTGCGGTACCAATTTCCAGGCTGCGCCAGACCCAAGGACGGAGGCAGGGCCAGGAAAGTCTTCTCAGAACAAGAGGGTGTCTCCGAGGAGGAGTCCCTCTCACCAGGGGCAGGGGCAGGGGCAGGGGCAGGGGCAGGGAAGGGCATTGCAAGCAGAGGGAGCAGAGGGGAAAGAAGGAGAGAGCTCGGGGGACCAGGGACACAGGGCAGCCGAATGGCAGAGCCTGGCCCTGGCCACAGGAGACCCCAGTGCTGGGCCAGGAGTGCAGCCACACTGTTGGAACCACGGGGAGTGCAGGGCAAACCCCTGTGCTGCTGTGAGAGACCAGGGCGGAGGCCATGCTGAGGCAAGCTGCCCCTCCACTCACCACCCCAGCATGCTCCCTCCTCCCTGCCTTTGCTGGATTGTTCTCTCTGCCCACAGTGACACACACACACACACACACACACACACACACACAATTTGCTATGTTCAAATCCCCAAATGTTACTTTCTTAGCGTAGAGCTCCCTAATCTTTTCCAGTCTCCTCAAAGCCAACAGACCCTCTCCCTGCTTGGAACTGGCAGGCCCCTTTGCCTGCCCTGCCCCTGCTCTCCACAGTGTATTATGCGCATTTGCATGCGGTTCACCTTTCCTTGGTGGGACTAGGCGGGCACTAATCAGCACATGTTCTGGCCAGGCCTCACCGAACACTGGGGGTGGGGAGCAGACCCTTTTCCTGGATCTACTGGAGAGCCTGTGCAGACCCCACGTTAACAGCATGTGTCTCACGTGGGACAGTTAGACTACATGCTGGGCACAGGGACAGATGGTCTGAGTCTGGAACGTGGAAAAGCCTCTTCGTGGAAGAGGAGGTGACGGAGCCGAGGATGGTGCACAGAGGCAGGCAGTGTGTGCAACAGGCTCGGGGGAGTGGAGCTGCCTAGGTCATTTGCTGGAGTCGAGGGTGAAGTGTGCATGGGGTGAGGGGATGTTGGCCAGCGAGAGGAGGACAGGGGTCTGCAGGGAGCAGACGGGCTGGGCCTACAACATCCCCTTCCCCCCTTGTATTCCTGCACACCCCACAGGGAGGGTGGCGCTCAGTGAGGCTTTGCTAGGTGTGTGGAGGGGGTTCGGTGGGGCTGCTTTGCCGTGGTCACTGGCCCTTTGCAGACACCACAGAGCCCGGGGGCCTGTGAGATGCCCCAGCTCTCAGGACTCGCCCTTGTGTTTTGCTTCCTTCAGCCTTGGCTTTCACCTGTGAAGGCCACAGCAATGCAGAGCTGAAAGAACCTGCAGGACTCTTCTAGTTATGTCTTAGTTTGTGTGGGCTGCTGTAACAAAGTACCACAGAATGGGTGGCTTATAAACAACAGAAATTTCTTTCTCACAGTTCTGGAGGCTAGAAGTTCGAATCAGGGCCAGCCAGATCAGATTCTGGGGAGGGCCCTCTTCTGGGTTGCAGAAGGCGGGCTTCTCGCTGTGTCCTCACAAGGCAGAACAGAGCTCTATGGGTCCCTTTTATAAGGGCATCAATCCCATTTGTGGGGGCTCCACCCTCATGACCTGATCCCCTCCAGAGGCCCCACCCCCTAACATCATATTGGGGCTTAGGGAACACATACGTTCTGTTCAAAACGAATTACAAGTGGCAGAAACTCAGTTCAAGCTGGCTTAAGGAAAAAATGTATTCTCAAGGAGAAGAGTGCCCAGTGGTTTCAGCTCCAGCCCTTTGCCCTGTCTCTCCGTCTCTCAGTTCTGCTTTCCTCTCTGTTCCCTCTTTCTCAAGCCATTGGTGCCCCCAGGAGCTCCATCAGGTGGAAAGAGCCCTCTTGCCCAAAAGTGCCACCTACCAAAGTCCCTGAACCGACCACCCCAGCTGAGGGGATTCGGTCACCTGCCCAAGCCCATGGGTGGAGATGGGGGTGGTTTTGGAGGAGAAATGGGGCTCTGTGCCTAGACCCGAGGAAGGGAGCAGCAAACAGAGGGGATTCTGGGCAGCAAACAACACCCAGCTGCTCCCACCCCAAATCTGTGTGAAACGTACCCAGACCACGGGCTTGGCACAGGCTTTGGACTGTTGTTACTCAATAGTGTCTTCTAGATCATGACACCCAGAGGAAACGCCTTTCCCGTGTGTAACCTCTGCTCTCTCTTTCTCATTTCCCAGGGGCCACTGGGTCTGGATGGAAAGCCGGTAAGTGATGACAGGGCCGTTCTAGGTGGTCCTGGGATGGGTGGTCCTGGGATGGTGGGCACTGTGGGGTTGGGGGTGACCATGGGCGCCAGCGAGAAAGATCCACTGAGAACCTGGCTCAGCGCAAAGAGAAGCCATTTGGGGATTACACTTAAGTTCAAGTCCAGCTCCACCATCTGCTGACTGTGCAGCCTTGGGGAGGCCTCTTCACCTCCCAAGCCTGAGGCTCCTCACCTATCAGAGGCACATTAACCCTCCCACTGTGATGGCGATGTGAAGAACTGCAGACAGCACTGTCCCAGCCACTGGTCAGCCCTCAAAGCATACAAGCCCCTCCCAGCAGGCCCCAGGCACAGAGCATCCCCAGGCAGTCTCAGTACTTTCATGAGGCTGAGGAGTTTTCTACACCTGGGTCAGGAGTCTGCGGTCCACAGGCATCCTCAGCAGAATTAATAAGATGCACAGGTGACAACATAGTTAAATAAATACTGGGATGGGTGGATGGGTGGATGGATGGATGGATGGATGGATGGATGGATGGATGGATGGAAGAACAGTCAAAGTAGGTAATGAACCAATGATTGCACAAACAGTTGGATGCATGGAAGGATAGGTGGATGGGTACATGCATGGTTGTTGAACAGACGAGTGAAGAAATGAGTGAACTGACAAATAATTGAATAGTTGACTCATAATGTGTGCATTATTGAAGGATGGAGGAAAGAACCTGGGTGGACGAATTGTTGAATGCATGAACAAGCAAACCCACTACTGGTTGAAGGGATAGTGGACAGTTTGGGGAGGGATTAAGGCCAGTGAGCCGGTCAGTCCCTGACCAACGGTGCCAGCCCTCACCGCAGGGACTCTGAGCCCCACAGTGTGCCTGTGGCTTGACCTTCCTAGAAGGCCTGGTAACTGGGCAGGACTGAAAGAAAAACATTCCCCTGTAGCCAGAGGGTGAAGGCAGCCGCCAGGGCCTGCGTGGAGCCACTCACACGCACATTCCCCAGACTCCACGAGCAGGGGCTCCTGACCGGCACCAGCACAACAGGTGCTGAGCAGGGCGGGCTCTGCCCTCTGGGAGGAGTGACTAGCAGATGTGCCTCTGTCCAGAGGGGATGCCAGTGACCTCCAGCCCCCCGTGTCCCTCATGCTGAGGACTGAGATGTGGTGCTTCCTTGGGGTCAGCACGGCAGCCTCCTTAAGGACTGACAGTCCTGTGTGTTTTTCCACTCGGCCGCCCCCAGCTCTGCTCAGCCTCCCAGGCCCTTCTGTACGCAAAGCCTTAGGGAAGCCGGCAGGGGCCAGCCTCGTCCTCCTCACTCACTGCTGTTCTTTCTCCACCTTCCTTCTCCAGGGACTTCCCGGCCCCAAGGGAGAAAAGGTAAGTGATGCTGGAGGCTGTCCAGACACGGGAGGCTGAGGAAGGATGCCAGACACCTGCCTCCAAACCCCATTCCAGAGTGTGACCGTGGGCACGTCACATCCCCTCCTGGAGCCTCCGTTTCCCCATCTACAAAGTGGGGCAGGGAGTGCCTGCCTCCTGTAATGGTTATAAGGCTTACATTGGACCATTTAAAGTGCCCAGAAGGTTCATCTGAGTTCTCCAGACACCACAGTATAACAAAACTCAAAGCAGCCTGCCCAGTAATTAATTATGAAGGGGGTGGTGCCAGGAAAGCCGGGGGGGCGGGGGGGTTGAACAATGACTGTGGATGGCATTCTTTGTGGGGAGGACGCCTGCCAGGAAAACAGATGGCAGAGAGCTGCCCCTGGGATCCGCACAGCCCCCTACCAGAAGGGCTTCCTGGCATTTGGTGCTAAATGTCACAGCCACAGCCCTGGAGGGCTGGGACCTCTGAGAGCCTCATGAGAGAGCAGAAGAGAGAGGAAATGTGTGTGTCCCAGGGCTGACGCAGGTGTAGCAAGACTGGGCACTTCCAGGGAAGAGCTGGGCTGGGCCACGTCCACACCCCAACTCCACTGGGGGTCACTTAGTTCCCGTGGCCAGTGTTCTAGCCCCCCGTGAGAGCTGAGCAAGGCACAGGATCGGCGTTCGGAGCCTCAGGTTTGCATTCCCCCTCTACCACCATCTGTGTGGCGTTTGGCAAGTCGCCCCGCAATGTGGGCCTCAGTTTCTCCATCCGTAAATGTAAACCAGCCTCACAGAGCCATGGGAAGACTGTCCAAGGTAACAGTCTGCGTGTTTTTTGTGGACAATGAGACCCTCGTGCGGTTGGCAGGTGCAGTGATGGCCTTCCCGCTGGTTCTGGCTGATGCCACTGAGTCGTAGAAATGATTAAGGCAGGGACTTTGCAACCAGAGAGAAATTGGTGTCCTGGCATCTATGGCTGCATAACATACTACCCCCAAACTTGGAGACTTAAAACAATCAAGTAGTTATCATTCCTGACTGTTCCGTGGTTCAGGGATTCCAAGAGGGCACAGTGGGAGCGGCTTATCTCTGTTCCACCATATCTAGGGCTGGCAGTAGATAACAGACCACCCTGGGATCTGCTAGTGGTGTGACCTTGGGCAGACTACTTAGCCCCTCTGTGCCTTCATTTCCTCATTGGAAATGGAGGGGTGAGGGGGGGAAATAGAGCCTGCATATGATTTTTGGCAGAGTGGATGAGACCATGTACATGGCACTCTGAGCGCAAAGCTGGATATATGTGAATTCATCAAGCGGTGGTGACATATCTCCCTGTTTTTTGTTCCCAGGGTGCACCAGGAGACTTTGGACCCCGGGTAAGAACTGAGCAAGACCCCCTCCCCCACCTACACAGTTTGTTTTATTTTATAACTAGAGGCCCAGTGCATGAATTCGTGCATGGGCGGGGTCCCTCAGCCTGGCCTGCGATTGGGGCCAATCGGGGCCATGTGGCCCAGTCCCAATTGGAGCTGATTGGGGCTGGCCAGGGGGGACGGACCGAGGGAGGTTGGCCGGCCAAGGGAGGTTGGCTGTGGGAGCGCACTGACCACCGGGGAGCAGCTCCTGTGTTGAGTGTCTGCCCCCTGATGGTCAGTGCACATCATAGCAACCGGTCATTTGGTCGTTTGGTCATTCGGTCACTTAGGCTTTTATATATATAGATAAAGCATGCCCTACAGCTTATCACAGAAGGTGAGTGAGCAGCCCTGCCTCCCACCTACAGTATATCCTGCTTCACGGTTTCACTTAAATGGCCGCTGGGTCTGGCACAGATGGAAAGTCTCTGCCTGATGTCCCATAGCATTTATCACTGTGGATGGGCAGACAGGGGGCTGGCACTGGTCTCAGACCAGAGACTGACCTTCCTGAGGACAGCCAGCACCCCAGGAAGAGGAGGGCTGTAGGGTCAGCAGCCCTGAGCCCAAGCTCAGCTCTGCCACTTACCAGCCAAGTGACCTTGAGCGAGTCACTTTCCCCTCTAAGGCTCCGTTTCTCTAACTGTAAGTGGGGTGACAGCTTCTACCCCAAGCTGCTGTGGTGAAGCTTCAATGCAATCATAAAAGTGGGTACCCAGCACCCCACATGGAACAGCAGATGGGAGCCTCAGCCAGACCTCCTTGGCCCTCCGTGGCCCCGGGCCCCAGGACTCAGAGGTGCCTCATGCAGAAGCAGGGGTTTCCTCAACAGAAGCTGAAGCAGAGGGGAGACCCAGGTGGGATGGGCCTGCTAAAGTGGGTCTTGGCAGGGGGTCACTTAGCGGCCCTCTCCACCTTTGCCACAGCCTGGCAGACAGCGGCCACAGCCTCACTGCAGAGGCTGAGAGGTAGGCATCAGCTGCCCAGAGAAAGGCAGGAAAGTGGCATATTCACCGTTGTTTCTAAGAAGGTTGCGGGGCGGAAATTGTAGCCAATGGCTGGTCACCCACGGCAAGCAGCTGCCTAGGCTGGAGGTGGGCATGGAGCAGAAGCGGGCCCTGTTCATGGGGGAATGAGAGGAAAGGCGGGGCGCGTACAGAGAGCAGGACTGGGCTTTGGAGTCCCGGGCGGGCTGGGCTGGGTCCCTGTCCCAGCTCTACAACCTCATGACTCTGAGGGTGGTTATGAGTCCAGAGCAGGGATGAGGGCTGGCCAGGCTGTTTCCCTAGCGACCCAGCTGTTCTGTGCTGAGCCTTTGATAGGAGGCCAGAGGCAGGGCCACCTGAAGCTGGTGAGAAGTCCCTGCAGCCCAATAAAGGACGCCTTTGAGCTTGGTGGCTGCTGAAAAAACCCTTCTGCTCACTTTCTGTTGGATGTAGAAGCTGATCTTCCCACCCCTCAGCAGACGAGAACTCCCCCAGCCCTGGTGTAGCTGCAGAGCAGGTCTCCCCAAGCCCCACCCTTTTCCTAGGTAAACAGCCCCCTGTGAAACACCTCCACCCCTGAGAGTGACTCAAACCACAGGTCACTGTCTCTCATGACCCCCTGGCGGCTGGGTCTCTCCTGTTGCAGGAGGGGCCGTGGGGCCTGGAGTTGGGAGCTGGGCTGTTGGCTGGGAGCTGGGCTTCCTCGAGGGGCCTCTCGAGAAGATTTTGAGAAGCAGGAAGCCAGGACTGCCAGGCCTGTGAAGAGCCACACACAGCATCACCGCCCCTGCATCCTAATGGTCGCATCTGTCACAGGGCTCGCTCAGAGTCAGTGGGGGACGGGGACAAACAGGCCCCAGCTCTTGGTGGGGAGTGGCAAGGTCACCCTGCAGAGGACCCTGCGGGACGGAGGGAGGGAGCGTCGCGGCCCCTGTGAGCACGTGGTCCACCACCCTCGTCTCAGGCTGCCTTCTGTGGCTGGGGAGGTGGCTTTGCCTCCAGACATAGCCCTGTGGTTTCCTGATCACCCTCCTGCCTTTCTGACCACACAACCTGTTTGCTGTAGATGGTCTTCCCACGGCTCAATCCAGGCTTTATAAATAGAGACCATCACATGTACAATCGCCGCATCCTCAAGGTAGACTGGACGAGCGGCCTGCCTGGGCTGCTGGCTTGCGTGTTCCCCTCGACTCATCAAATCCCCAGGGTTAGACCTCAGCCGTCCGATCCCGGCGGGAGGAGGAGGCAGCTGGCCAGCCTCATTTCCCAAGGAACGCAGGGGAAGAACGGAAGAACCTCTCTAGGACCTGCTCAAGTGTCTCAACCCATTTTCTGCCTCGATAAGTAGAGTCCCGGCCCACGGCCTCCAGCATGGGCCCCGGAGCTGGAGTCCGATCCTTCTGGTCAGGACCTGGCCGTGCCAGGCTGAGGAGCTCTACGTGGTGGCCTTTGAGAGCCTCCGTTAAGCTTTTTGCTGGGAAAACTAGTGAGTGAGGTCTGAGGTGCAGCTGCTGGAGAGGGGAGCTCTTTCCTATCATGGAGCTCACGGATGAACAGAGACCACTGCCTCACTGGCCTTTCCTGGCCTTGTAACCCTGGTTAGACGATTGCCCTCTCTGACGCTGGCCCTGCATTTGTAAAGCAGGACTGGAGCGGTGCCGGCCAGATGATTGGATGAGCGAACCCCAGGATGCCCTGGCTTATCAGCCCTGGGCTCACAGCGGGGTCCGCTCCACAAAGGCCTGGTTACAGGAAGGGTAGGCTCTGCTGCACTGGGAGCCGGGTGTGTCCCGTTGCTGTGCCAGTGCTGGGCAGCAGGCAGTGCCGGGGGCACTGTGGTCTTCCCTCCCTGCAGGTGGGGCCACCAGGTGAGGGCTCTGGCTGCCTGAGGTCTGACCCAGTACTAACCTCGGCCTGAGAGTTGGGGGTTTGGTGCTGCATGAGAGACAGTGTGGCCCTCTGTCGCCTTTTTTTTTTTTAAGAGAATTGTAAATTCACATGCAGTTGTAATACGTAACCATGTACCCATCATCCAGTTTCCCCCAAAGGTGACTTTGGCAGCACCGTAGTACCATCTCCTACCCAGGAAATTGATACAGCCCACCAACCTTACTCAGACTTCTCCCATCGCTTGTGTGTTTAGTCTTACGCATTTTTGTCACTGTTGTAGATTCGTGCAACCACCACACAAAGACCCCTCAGGCTACTCTTTTATAGCTCTAGTGGCCTCCCTCTCTGCCCCATCCCTAACGCCTAGAACCACTAATCTATGCTCCCTCTCTATAATTTTGCCATTTCAAGAATGTTGTGTAGCTGCAATAACAACGTATATAACCTTTTGAGATTTGCTTTTTCTCTCAGCGTAATTACCATGAGATGCATCCAAATGGCTTCGTGTCAGTGCTCTGTTCCTGTTTGTTTGCTGCTGAGCAATGTTCCGTGGCAGAGGGCCCCAGGTGGTTGGACATCTTGCCATTGGAGGACATCTGGGTCTCCAGTTTGGGGCCCTTACGAATAAGACCACTATGGGCATCCATGTACTGGTGTTTGTGTGAACAGGAGTTTTCACTTCTCTGGGACAAATGCCCAAGGGTGCACCTCTGTCACCTAATGAAGCAGGAGTGGCCCAGCCAAGGTCTCCCAGGAGGCCTGCAACCCCCTTTCTGTATGAAGGGGACCAATCGGGCACAGGTGCCTTCTCTCACACCCACCGTGTGGTCTCTCCCACCTGAACACCGCAGGTGAGGAGATGGCACACTCCTTGGAGTCTAAAAGGCCCTGTTGGCCCCTTAAGCTGAGCGTTAGGGACCTGTCCCTTCGTGTGGCCACCAAAAAGTGGCAAAAGGCCTAACAACAAAGCCCTTTTCTCTGAGCCTGTCAAGGGCTGGGAAAGGGGAAGGCATTGAGCTGTCCATCTAAGGGGCCTCTCTCTAGAGACTAGAACCCCTTCCCTCACCCTCAGAGTCATGCCAGGCCTCGTCTCTTTCAGGGAGACCAAGGGCAGGATGGGGCTGCTGGGCCTCCAGGGCCCCCTGGGCCTCCTGGGGCTCGGGGCCCTCCTGGCGACACAGGAAAAGATGGACCCCGGGGAGCACCAGGCCCAGTGGTAAGAGGACATGGAGCTGGACCACCCAGGACCTGGTCCTGCACCTACCAAAGCCCCAAACCCTGGTCCCAGTTCAGGCCAAAACCCAACCCTAACTCTACCGCCAACCCAGACCTGCCAACTCAGCTAACTGTAGGGTCCCTGCATTTCCTCATCTCTCTCCTCTGTGTCCTCAGGGTCCCAAAGGAGAGGCTGGACACGACGGTGAGACGGTCAGTACCCAGAGCATTCGAAGGCCTGAGCTGGCAGAACCGTGGTTCCAGGCCCGGCAGCTCCTACACACACACACTTACACACACACACACACACACACACACACACACGCAGGTTGTGTGTGCGGCTGTATGTGTACATACACCCGAGCTCTTGTCCCCACCAGCAGTGGGAAGGGATGGCCAGGCCTCCAGCCCCAGCAGAATTCTCACAGCCCTGCATCCCTGGGAGGGAGACTGCTGTCTGTCTGTCGCTGCTTGAGATCTGATGAGAAGCTATCCAAGACAGGAAGCAGTGACAGCCCTGCCTCCTCCTCCCTGGGACTTGGTGTCGTCCTTTGTAAAATGAGGATGAGGACAGATAGGAGCAACCTCCAGTAACACCTTTAACACCTTCTCTTCTCTTGTTCCAGGGCCCAAAGGGACCTCCAGGGCCCAAGGTAAGTGTTCCTCAGTCCCTGTCCCCACGCCCCTGGAAGCCCAGGCAGCAGGGTTAGGAGACAGAGTTCTGTGACCTTGGGCGAGTTACTGCATCTCTCTGGGCCTCAGTTTACTCGTCTGTTAAATGGGGGCATGATAAACCTTTTTTGCCTTACCTTCACACCAGGTTGTACGGATCAAATAATAAAGCACGTTAGCTTTTAAAGTCCTCTCGGCTGTCAGCTCAGTGCTTGCTGGGTGGGAAGGCAGGCTCTGGTCCTCCCTGAAGGAGCTGGAGTCCCTGGACTGAGCAGGAGGAGAGGATAGGAGAGGAGCTCCATTTAGTGAGCACCTGCTGCGAGCCAGGGGCTTTTCATGCATCCTCTCTCATCTCAGTGACCCTCTGAGGCCCTCTGAGGCTGGGGCATCATACTGCCGCTTTCAAGAGCAGTGACTTGCCTGAGGTCATTCAGCTTGGAAGGGACCAGGTTGGGAGTGGAGTCCAAGACTGTCAGCCCCACACCCAAGTGCTCCTCTCTGAGGGGCTGGGCCCTCTGGACTGCGCTGGGCGTGGATCATGGGGCCACTTCTCCAGAGGAGCAGCCAGCCCAATGTCTCTGACCTTTTCCTTGCACCCCCATGTCTGCCCTCAGGGTGAGCCCGGCATTCCTGGAAAGAAGGTGAGGGGGGCCTGGGAGGGGCTTCTCGGTGGGGGTGTGGGAATGGGCTGGAGAGAAGGGCAGGGGCTGGGCACGGGGCAGAAATGGGAGCCCCCACAAAGAAGGTGCCCTGCTCCTTGGCAGACCTGAAACCTCAGGTCTGAAGGTATGTGTCTGAAGCCAGGATCTCATTCATTCATTCACTTATTCACTCATTCACTTATTCTTTCCCTTCCTCAAACATCACATTGTTCCCGCCTCAGGGTGCAGGACAGCGGTTCTTAAACTGTAGTCCCAAGACCAGCCTATCAGCATCATTTGGGGCTTGTTTAACAAGCGTGTTCGGGGCCCACCCCAGACCCACCAAAACAGACACTGGGGGTGGCCGTGCTCTGTCCAAGCAGCCGCAGGTGACGCTGATGTGCGCTCAGGTCTGGGACCACTGAGCCAGAGTGACCTTCTCCTGCCTCTTCCATGCTGGGCCTCCTCCTCCTGCAGGTCTCCTCTGAGAAACTGCCCCTGGCCACCTACTGAGACACACCCTCCCCGAGTCCCTCTCCATCCTGCCGTCCTCCTAAACTCCCTGCCTGGCACTTCTACTTCCTGTCACGCTGCGATGTATTTCTCTGGAGATTTCTTTGCCCTCGGCCTCCTCTGACCCATCGAGCAGGGACCTCTGCCTGGCCCGCAGAAAGTGCTCACCAGCTAATTGCTGACTGAAGGACGAATTCTCTCCCCTTCACCTGCCCACCCATTTCTTCTGCACACACCTGCTGAGGCCATTCTGGGCTGGCCCTGGGCTGGTGGGCACAGGGGACAGAAGCAGACCTGACCCCACCCCTGCCCCAGAGGGGCGAGGAGGGGAGGGAGAAGCTGCCCGTCCCGGTATGACCAGTGTGGGTGACAGGAGTGGACAGCTGTGCTGGGGAGGACAGAGGGGTGTTGCCGGTGTGTGCCAACCAGTGTGTCCAGGTCTGAGGCTGCAGCCTCCACCACTCTCTCCTCAGGGGGATGACGGGGCGCCAAGCCAACCAGGGTTCCCTGGACCTCCAGGGCCCAAGGTAGGTACCTGTGCCTCCCCCGAGCTCCTCCTGCCTCCCAGCTTGCACGGTTCCATCTGCCTGGCGAAGCCCCTCCTGGCCCTTTCACATGGTGGGGCACAGGCTGATGCCCAGGACAGGCCACAGAGGGGCAGCAGGAGGACCCTGGGTCCCACTCGTCAACGGGCCTGGCACCTCACAGGCTATCTCCCCTCACACCCTGAAGTCCTCTGGTTCCCTCTTCGGTGCCCCACTCTCTGCCCTGTCCCCAGGCCAGGAACTGATGTCATCCTGGCTCCCCAGCCCCTCGTCACAGCCACCAAATCCTGGCCCGCCTGCCTCCAAAATGTCTCTTGAGCCCCTGAGCTGCCCCAGCTATGCCCCAGGACTCAGGCGGAAGGAGGCCATGGTCCTGAGTCCCCTGGACTGGGAGGGCCCTGAGGTCCGTCCTCTGCAGGTGGGCTCTGCCGTGTTCTCCTGGAACTGCTGCGGAGGCGAGCAGCCCCAGGCAGCCCTAGCCCGCCCCACGGCTTCTTTCCATTTTCAATGTCTCTGTTGCAGGGCGAGCCAGGGAGCGTGGGGCCACGGGGAGAGAAGGGCGTGGACGGTGTCCCAGGGACAAAGGTGACTGAGCAGCACACGGCTTCAGCTTCGGCTTCTGCAGGCCCCATTCAGAGAAGCACCCTGTCACAGGAAGGAGATGTGGTTCACCTCCCATTTGCCTTTTTAAGTTGGGAATCCCTGGAGGGCCTGGGCCCTCACGTCTTGGGTCTCAGGTCTCCTTGGACTGGCAGTCAGAGACTGATCTGAGCCGGGGCAGCAGGGGGCATGGGTCTGGGTGAGCTACGAGGCTAAGGCACCATGTGGCCCTGGGCTCCTGGGCCTCAGTGGCCTATCTCTGGGGTCAGAGGGTTCTGCGGCCACACAGTGAGGCCCTGAGCCCTGTGGGGAAGAGGGGACTGGAGGAGGTGGGCAACCTTTGGCTTGGCTGTGTACACCTGACTGCAACCACGTCGTCTCCACAGGGGGAGCCCGGCCAGCGAGGAGCCGATGGAGCCTCAGGGCTGCGGGTAAGCAGTCTCTCCTCTAGCCACCCACAGAGGATCCAGGGGCCTGCCAGTTTTTTTAAAATATATTTGTTATTCATTTCAGAGAGGAAGGGAGAGGGAGAAAGAGACAGAAACATCAGTGATGAGAGAGAATCATTGATCAGCTGCCTCCTGCACGCCCCCTACTGGGGATTGAGCCCACAACCCGGTCATATGCCCTTGATTAGAATCGCACCCGGGACCCTTCAGTCTTCAGGCTGACACTCTATCCACTGAGCCAAACCAGCTAGGGCGGGGCCTGTCACTTTAAAAGTCCCTGTCACCAAAGGCCCCCGAGGAGCAGTGAGGCTCCAGAAACGGAGTCTTTTTTTATATTAATTCATTTGTGATTTTTTTTCATTTTTAATCTCGTAGTACATGCTTTCAGTAAAATGTTCAAATATGGATGTGTCAAGACACATCCCCTCCTGTTCCCCTCTCCCAGGTGGGTGCTTGCCCTCCGAGAGACTTTTCTCGGCATATTCAAACATAGACCCTCACTTGTCACATATGGTGTTGCCCCCACCCCTGTTGGGGGGTCCTGGCCTTTCTCCCAGCCCCATGTCGAGGTGCGTTCCTGTCACCAGGAAGGAGCACAGCGGCTCCAGCTGGTCCCGAGGCCCCAGGCCTTCTGAGGCCAATGCCTGTCAGCACACCTCAGGCTGGCATCCTGGACCCTGTTCCTGCTCTGTGGCCCGAGCAGTCACATCCCCTGGTGCTCCTGGAGGCCGGTTTCCTCCTTAGCCCGCGGCCGGGGCTTGCAGGTGGCCGGGATTAGATTAAGCACACAGTGTGGGAAGGCAGTGTAAACTGTACAGTTCCATGCAGGTCATGACCATGGAGGCAGCCAGCAGGGGACCCCCGCCTGGGTCTCTCCAACCAGGGCAAGGGGCTGGCCACAGGCCTGACACAGAGTGTTCATGGCCGCTCACTCTTCTCCAAGCAGAGAGGTGCCCGGGTGGGGAGGGGCGGAGCAGAGGGTGGGGACAGGGCCAGCAGCCACACACTCACTGGTGGACACACATACCCGTGGCCATGCGCTTGGGTGGGTGTGTGCTCCCACCAGGAATGAATGGGCATGTCAGTGCCTGGTGTGCCCCTACCAGAGGTCGGGAAACCAAGGCACAGGCCTCCACAGTGTCTTGGAGGGTTTGGGGGTCTGTGTTTGTGTTTGTTTGTTTGCCAACATTTAAAAACCTGGACAACATCACATCAAATTAGGCTTTCACTTTCCCTCGCGAGTTCAGGGCTGGGGCCTCAGGGGGCCTCCGTTCCCACAGGAAAGCCACGTGCTGCCACCCCAGATCAGGCGGGGCTTGTTCTTCAGTTGGCCCCAGGCCCCCTTGCCCTCCAGGCACCTGCCTGGCTCCTACAGTGTTTTGTCAGTGAGCCTGGGTGCCAGTGCAGCGAATGCCAGGGGACCAGGCCTGAGGACCAGCCCGGCTGGGCCCCCAGGTTACAGCTGAGCCGGGGCCCAGGACTGCGTGTGGCCCCAGTTCCTGGGTTCCTTGGATGACATACAGAGACGACTACCATTTCACCCACCAATGAAGCTCCGCCCTGAAACCTTCCTCTTCTTCCCGCCCCAGGGTCCCCCAGGCCTCAAGGGTGAGCAAGGAGACACAGTGGTGATTGACTACGATGGCAGGATCTTGGATGCCCTTAAGGTAGTGTTCCTGGTGGACCAGATGGGCCTTGCTGTTCATTTCCTAAGAGAATAACCACTCCCTTTGTGCATTAATCCACACTCTGTACACAAGGGCCCCAACGTCCCCAGGTGCTGTGCTGATACGGAGAGATCTGCTATGATGTGGCTCATGTGGCCCCGAGCTCCCTTGGGGTCAAAGCAACAAGGGGCAGGGGCAGAGCATCTCCTGTGTCCAGCCCCAGCAGGGCCTCCTGGGGCCTTCACAGGGAACTCAGGCTAGAGGGCCGGGTCTTCTAATGACCATTGGGGAGGATGAGAGTGGCCAGGCCCGCCCCAGAGCCTCGCTCGGGAGATGGAACCTGTGAGTCCTGCCCAGCAATCCTGGGACCCATAACCAGTGGAAGAGAGGTTGGGTGCCAAGGAAAGGGGCTGGGGTGAGGGAGGGACCATCAGAGACCAGACTGGATGGCACCTAACGCCCCCTGAGCTTCAATTCCAGTTATTTCCCACAGGCCTCAGAGAAGTACAAGCTGATGGTAACTGTGGCCCATCAGGCCTGCATGGCGTGGTGTGGTGTGACTTGGCCCGAGGGCGTGTACATGCATGGTGTGACCCAGGCTGGCTAGGAGCCGTGTGGGAGAAGTTCTATGAGCACAGGGAGGCAGGGTGCCAGGCTGGGAGGATGACTCCATTGGATGGGCAGCAGGAAGCCATAGCTGGTTCTTTGAGCAGAGGGGCAAATGCTAAAAAACACATATTGGGGAATGGTGTGGAAGGTGAACAGAGTGGGTGTGGGGACGGCTGGAGGCAGGCAGGCTACCGGGAAGGTAGGTGCTGCGCATGGCCTAGAGGAGGTGGGTGGAATGAAGGAAGATGTAAGACGGGACATCTCAATGGAGCCTCTAACAAGAAGGAAGAGGTTGGTGAGAGGAGGTGGAGGACTGGAACTTTGGGGGCTGAGGGGCTGGATGGGGTGCAGCCTTTGGGAGGGGACGTGAGTTTGGAGGGCGATGATGAGCCTTAGTGAGCAGGCAGCCTTCTGGAGGTCTGGGTCAAGATAGCAGCTTGGGACTCAGGTTAGACCTGGAGACTAAAGATGCCATCCCTTACCTGTGTGACCCAGGAACTCCCCGGGGCAGGAGGCAACAGGCAACAGAGCTGATGGTCAGAGAGGTCACAGGAGAAGTAGAGACGGCAGTGCTGGGCCATTGCTGGGGATACAGCTTCAGAGGCAATAGGGAGGCACCGCAGGATCCTGAGCAGGGCCGTGTTGTGAAGAAATCTAATGTCGGGGAAACAAGCTCCGAGGGCAGAGGGATTCTGGGCTCTCCATGGCAGTGGACACGGTGATATCTGGCCTGACGCTTGGTGCCTCCTCCCAGGACTCCTTCAAGACCTGGGGCCTGACCTGGGTGGGTGGGAATCGGCTGCGGAAGGTCCTTGACCTGCTGTAGCCCAGCTAAACAGAGACAGGCCCCCCGGGGTGAGGGGTGGACCAGCAGTGACGGGGAGGCCCTGCTTAACATTGACCAGCCTGACCTTTGCACACAGGGTCCTCCCGGCCCACCAGGGCCTCCAGGAATCCCCGGAGCCAAGGTCAGTACACATGCAGCTGTGTGGCCCCTCAAGCCCGTTGTCTCCAGAGCCCACCTGCCCCCTCTGCTTGTCGCCCCATGATCCTCTTGGCTCAGAGAAAGGGGCTACTTTCTAGCCAAGCAGGGTGCCTTCTCCCAGGCCCTAGTTACACTGCACTCTGGGAGTTTGATTCACATGTGGAAACCCCTCGTGGCATCACAAAGTCCCATAGATGACATGGTCTTTCCTATGGCCTGTGTGCATCATTACACCCTGCCCACCTGGCTCAGGAGAAAGAGCCCAAGACTGTGAAATCAGACAGGGTCTGGTTCCACCATTGTCCCTGGGCTGTGTGGCCTGGAGCAAGTCATTTAACCCTTGGCGCCTCAGCTTCCAAAATGTAACCTACAGCCTGGGCTACGTCTGCCTGTAGGGGCTGAGGGCATGGAGGAGTGGAGGTGGTCGGCTCCTGGCACCCTGCTGGGCACCCAGTGGGTGCCTTCCTGGAGGTCTAACTGCAGGGACTTGACCAGGAACGGTGCGCTGGTTGGGGGCGGCAGCCTAGCCACAGACCCCTCTCGGGGACCATGGGACACTATAACCCCTCTTGCTGTCTGTTCCCTTCCAGGGTGAGCTCGGATTGCCCGGTGCCCCCGGAATCGACGGAGAGAAGGTCTCTGAGCCTTTCATTTTCTTGGTGATACTGGTGCCAGGGGTCATGCTGTGTGTGTATGTGTGTGTGAGCACGTGTGTGTGTACAGAGTTGGAGAACAAAATGTGCCACCTGTGTGCGATTCTGGAGCCCCACAGTGCCCCTTCATGGCTGGTTCTGCCCTTAGGCTTCGGGCAAGCTGCTCACTTCCTGGCAGCCTCTGCTCCTCCTCCCCAGGCGAGGGTGGCAATGGGCTGTTGTGAGGGTTAAATAACTCTGTGTGTGGGAAACACTTAGAGCAGTGCCCGGTGCCATGTAGCAAAGAGTCTTCGAATGTGAGCTAATAGCATTACTGTCCAATGGTGTCATGTGGATTTGTGTGTGTGTTTGTAGCACCAGGTCCCTAGTGTGTGGCACATCATGGATGTTACACAGTGGTGGAGTGAGGGAATGCAAGGTTGGAAGGTGATTCTGTAGATAGTGGGTTGGCTGTAGGGGTTGGGGCTCCATCTCTGGCTCCTGGGAGGTAAGCACAGGGTTGACCTGGAACCCCATAGTGCCCCCTCATGGCTGCCCAGGCCCTCATGCTCCACTCCCTCCACCCCCACCCCACCTGCACCCCTGTGTGCAGTGAGGTAGGTGTCGGGGTGCCCTCTTCCTGTCTCTGTCCAGGCCCCTGGGTGCATTTGTCACCTGGGCTGGAGGTGGGGTCCCACAATGAGGAACTGGGGGTCTGGCCTGGCCTGAACAAAGCTCTGGGACTGTCAGAGTCGGGGAAGGGAGAATGCCTGCTGAGCTGCACTGACCCCTTGTTCATGTGGCTTTCAGGGTCCCAAAGGACCAAAAGGAGACCCAGGAGAGGCTGGGCCAACAGGACCCAAAGGGGAAGCAGGCGAAATGGGCCTGTCTGGCCTTCCGGTAAGTGGCTGGGTGGGCCCACCTTCCCTACTTGCCCCATGTGGGGTCCCAAAGCGAAGGTGTGCCTGCTGGCGGTGGGGCCCTGCAGCCTCAGCCCAGCGGGACCGTGGGGCTGAAAGGAAGCTGACTCCCAGCCCAGGTGCTCAGACTCCCCGAGCCCCCATTTCCTCGCCTGTAGAAGGGCCTGCTGCCTATCTCCTGGGGCCACTGAGAAGGTGAGATAAGGAGGCCCTGCCCCTGGAAGTGAGCTGGCGGTGGTTAGGCCACGGCTCTGGCTACCTGAGTTTGCATCCTGTTTCATTTCTTACTGACGAGAACCCTGTACAGGCAACCTCACCCCCTGGGCCTCCGTTTCCCCACCTCTAACATGGGGGTGATATTTCCCACTACGTGAGGGAACAGACAGCTCTGAGAATGGTGCTGGCATGCAATAAGTGCCTGCTGTCACCATCATTGTCGTTGTGATAGTTGGTCTTGGCGGGGATGGATTGGAAAAGCTGACAGGCTAAGCAGCTTCCAGGTGCCACCACTTCATGTCCATTGTCCATCCATAAGGCTCGCTCAGCGAGAGAGGCAGTGCTGGGGTTTCCTGTGCCACAGGAACACTACCATGTGCACCGCTGCACTCTGCTTTCTGAATGCCCATTGATCTAGGAAAACTGTTTTAAGCTGCACTGGCCAACCTGGCAAGTCTCTGCTAACGGAAGCCTTATCGGGGAGGAAAGGGGAGGTACTGATCACCGTGGGTGGTGATCTGGTGATGGACATAAAGGGTTCAAGGTCATCCTGTCCTACAGGGTGCCCATGGCCCCAAGGGGGAGAAGGGAGAGCCGGCACCTGACAGCCTACGAGAGAGCCTGGTAAGGGGGATTGCTGAATTCCAGGGTCTCCCCCCAATGCCCAGCCCAGGCCAGCTGGAGGCCCAAGTCTTAGAACAGCAGGGCCACCTGGCCTGACCAAACCTAGGGTAGCAGGGGAGGGGGAACCTCAAGTTGTGTCCTCCACCTAAGGCCCATCTGAGAATCTAAATGCCAGTGCTGCCCCCCGCCCCCACAAGGCGGGGGAGCAAGAAGCAATGGCTCAGGGCCTGGTGTCCAGGGAATGTTCCTCCAACATGTCCCATGAGCTCAAGTGTGGGTGGGTGAGGGATGACGAGGCAATTTGTAACTAATCCACTTCTGACCCTTTCCTAGGCCCAGCTCATAGTGGAGCCAGGGCCCCCGGGCCCTCCTGGTCCCCCAGGCCCCATGGTAAGAATGTTTGGCTTGAAGCAGCTGGGATACGAAGAGGGTGAGGGGC